GCTTAGGCAGGGTGCAGCAAACATCCGAGGATCTTTGTGGGTGTATAGTGAAGCCAAGAGGGGAATTATCTGGGCCGGTGTACATGATTTCACGCGTTATATTATACATGGCTGGCTGATGGAAAAATTTTGAAAAATCGTTTCCAAACGCGCATTTTACAAATTTATTTTTTACTCAAAACGCAACTAAAGGAATACACAATGTCCATACTGACAAATAAAACCGATATAAAAAGGGTATTATTGCGTATTTTACACTTTTCGCAAAGAACTTGGCAAAACCTCCAAAAAAGACAAGATTTTGGCTGTATTGTTGCAAAAAAGGTTCGAAAGAACAATTTTAATAATATTGATTATAAATTTTAGGGCTGCATAGCTAAAAATGAAAGACTAGACTACCCAGGATGCAGGTAATATTCGTTTATTCGCTCCAAAAATCTAAATCACCAAAAACTTTGGCTAAACTGCATGCAGCTGCATGTATAAAGTAAATTGTCGTATTTCATTGGCAGTGAAGGCCATTTGAAAGTTATGATAACTTGACAGCATAGCTAGCGGTATTCGGAAATACCACAGGTCATAACAGAGGCTATTACCAGCTATCAAATCGCTTTACTTGATCTTGGCCGAAATATGATGAAAATAAAGTAAATCATGCCATAATTGGCCGTATCTTCAACAAAAGGGATGACAACTACACTCCCACTAGTCTATGGAATCTACAAAGTGGTGTCTTAAAATTAAAAATTAAACAGAGATCCTCAAACATCACAAATTATATTAAACATCATCATCAGCTCGAAGAAATTCCAAGATTATGGCTATTATTCAATTACACCCCAAATCTGTGCAAAATCCAAAAATCCCCGAAGCACTAAAGAGCACCGTGCATTCCGCTACGTGCTCGGCGCTCCAAAATAAAACCAATTAGGGTCGCAATAATTGGAAAATAATCCCGGCTTCACCTCTGTTCCCCCCATTATAGATAAAGATTAACAGCGGGAGGGGCGCTGCAATCACAGATTACATGTAAAAATACACTCGTAATTGTCGAGATGCGGCTAATTGGATTAGTTGGTTGCACTTGGTACTCGGAACAATTTTGTAAAACACAATTGTAATCCAACAGTTGTAATCCAGCTGTGGGATTGTAATCCTAATGTAAAATGTAATGGGCATGATGTGGAAATAGAGAATAGCATATCTGCAGAAGTCTGCAAGAACAAATGAGCTCTTTATTGAGGCATTTTTGGACAGAAAATGGCATCAATAATGCCATGGATAAGATAAATTAAAATTGAAAATTTAAAATTTTTACCCGACGTATTTAAACGAAATTCGGCATAGTAAAAGCTCACAAACTTCTTTCGAATAATCCGAAATTTCCAAGCGCGTTATGCAGAAACAACCGAAATAAAAATTTTTTAATTTTTCAAAATTTTTTCGATTTTAATTAAAAAGCAAGAAATAATTTAGCAGTAAAATACGTTAGATATAACTGTAAATTCATAAAAATACATCTGCAAAAACGAGCACTCCTAAAAAATATTCAAAAACCACTTTTTCCCAAAAAATCTTCAAAAACATCATGTATAATATAAATCTTCTCCAAAGTCTAACAAGTATCTCCTAGTATAACAAGATGACCCCTGAGATATCCAGAACAACCCCTGTAGACCCCAAATAGCCCCTGTAATGTTACGTAAGCGATAAATCAGAGGTGTTGTCAGCAGAATCTTATCTTTTACAGATCGCTCGGCATGACATTCCCTATTATTAATTGCGTTGGAGACAGGGTAAAATACGTTTGGGAAACAAAAATCAAACTTGAAAAACTAAATTTGCAAAAAAATTATATTATCCATCACAAATTTTGATGATTTTAATCTAATTTCTTTATTGTCATCCTCAATTTTGCTCAATTACAATAATTTAAAGCATTTTGGGAATTTCAAAAGCATATGTAACACTGTAAGATTTCGTATTACTTTTCTAATCCCCTAAACAGCAAAAAAAAGTCAAAAAAATGTAATGCCTCCGGGCGATTTGCGTAATCCCTGGTGCTGGCCGCTCCAACAGACGCAGTATAAAGTTCGCAAGGTCACCAAACTAATCCACGATGAGACAATCGACCATAAACAGGCCGCTGATCCGCACATCTTGTGACATAACATGTTTATGTTACAGTAATCTGTTGGGAATGATGCGGGCCTGAAGTGGGGCTTAGAATTCGGTTGTTATGGACGAAACAATGGCCGCAACCAGACCTGAAGAAGGGCGAAACCACAAGTTCTCGGATTACAAAACAATTGGCGGGCATAAAGGATGGGCAGGTAAATTCGGTCATTTCGTATGCCACAATGGCCAAGTCGGAGATAGTGCGCTGTCATGGCGATAAATGACTCTACCGTACGACGTCGGAAGAGATTGGCGAGAGGAAAAGTGCAGACGTTGTGCAAAATCAAAGGCTTTAACAAAACTCTGGTTGTCTTTGCCATGGATAGTATAAAATCAAAAATTTGCCCACTTACAACAACACCTCATTGTCAAAAAGCTTGCTGACCCCAAAAACCCTCTCAATCATGTTCGAGTAATCGCTGAACATACGAACATATCGCGTATTCGTCAAAAATAATGATGAGAAGCGGAGAGAGTGCGGATAATGGAGAGGGCGCAAGAGAGGCGAGAGAAAACGATGATTTTATCGCTGAACTGTCAGTTATTTCTGATCCCAACCATTAATTAGAGGACAAGATGATGAGAGAGAATTTTTACGGGAAAATTTTAACATCAGAATACTCAAATTTTTGTGGGAAAAATTTATGCAAATTTTTGGGATAGGGTAAAATACGACCAGATAATAGATGAAAAGGTATCCAACGTGGTAAAAAAATATTTTAAAGACTAGACGGCAAGTCAGAAAAAACAATTTTTTGTGAATATTGAAATTTTTATGCGAAGAATTATGCAAATTTTTTATTATTTTCTACAATAAAATTTTTTAACGGAATTAGCCAAAACACGATAAATAAAATTTTTTTTTCTAAAATACGGCCCTTTAACAAATTTTTTTCAAACACTTTTTTTGAATATTCAAATTCATCAGCCAAAATTTAATTTCACAGCCCAAACATCACAATGGATAATTTACGGCTCAATTGTCACCCCATCACGATTTCCGTTACTTTTTGCTACTTTTTACAACCCATAAATTGTAAGTCCACTTCTATTTTCTGACAGCCCTTTGATTGACGCTTTAATTTATGATAAAAAGGCCCCGAAAAGTTGCGAGATAACCGCAAACGGAATGTCTGAAACATGGAGATTGAGGTAATTTGGGAAGGCGGACAAAGTTTTTTTTTATTAATTTATATTACACTTGACATCAAAAAAGTCTGGATATTCAATTAGCCCGAAACAAATCCTCATTAATTTTGGGGATTTGCGGGGATTTTAATTAGTTTGATGGCCTTAGGGGTCTCGCTAATCCAGGCATGGTGGATTTGGAAAAAACGGATATTGGTTTAGGTATATTAATATCAAATTGAAGGTATTTTTGGATTTGAAACGAGATTTACCATGGGGCCTACGTAGAAAATTGATGTTTTCCAAGTGTAAAATTAGTGAGTTTTATTTGATTTCATAAAAAATCGGAAAAAAGAGTCGTTTTCGGCCAACAAACCGTGATTTTGGCTAATATTCAATTAAAAAATGTTTTGAAAATTATTGTAAGATACCCCATATACTGTAACAAACATCGATTTAGACCATAATATGTAGAACATGACTATCAAATTTCATTTTTCAATCATTTGATGTCAAGTATAATATATTTTGTCTAGAAATGATCGAAACCAAATTTAAAAAAGAATTAAATCGGGCCTAGAATACGTTTCAAGTCATTTCCTATTATAAAAAAGTAGTTGTGAGCCAAATTACATTCAATATCACAATTTAAAACCCATTTCTAATCATCTGATATCAAGTATAAGATTTGGCCAAAAATTGCCAAAAAGAAACAAAATAATACCTCAAACAAAAAACATTCAAAAACACGTGTCTTGAATTTTTCTTTAACCCTAAATCAAGCTTCTTCACACTTCATGTCACCTCTAAATTCCACTTCGGATCACCTGATACCAAGTATAATATAACAATTCTCTCAAAAATACAAAAATCGTCGTTATTTTGCAGTAGAAACTCCAAAGTTCAGCAACCGGCATTACTCTTCCTTCACAGCCCCTGCGGGCATAATGAAAATAGCAAACAAAAAGCGGGCCCGATTAAAGTTTGTTATAAGGAAGAAGGTTATCAGGAATTATGAGCACAATTCCCATTCCTCATTAATCTAAAATTGGACCGGCCGCTCCACAAACATACCGAAAAATGTCAGAAGAGAAAGGTCATAAATTACCTGCACTGTTCTGATTAATCGGCCCTTGCACGGTGCGATTGGTTCCGTTCGTGATTGCACGGTGCGATTGTTTTTTTTTATCAGACTCGTCCCGAAAAAGCAATGTAAATAGAGAGTGCCCCAGGGCATTTCATGGAAATGATAAAGGTGGAGGCCGATCCACGGATAACGTTATACGAAACGGTCAGGATGCGGAAAACAGTAATAAATTTGCAAAAAAACGGAAAATTGTACTGATAAAAAGCGACTAGTAGTCGGAATGTCACCCTAAACAGGATTTTTGGGGTGCTTAAACGTTCCAACAAAAATTATTTTTGGATTTTTTTAGCAAACAATTATAAAATTTTTAAATTTTTAAAAATGAAAAATTTTGGCTAAATTTGATGACTCTTAAAATTACAGTATAAAATAAGATTTTGAGTCTACTCCAAACAAAAAAAATATACATGATACCAAACGGCATCAAAAATTATATTATTCATGACACTTGATGTCTCCTTTTTTGTTTTTCTTTGCTGATTCTAGCCTCCTAAATCTCTGATATCATTTGAAAATTACTTGAAAACCCTCAATAAACAGTAACGTCTCAAAATTTTTCCCAAAACCCCTCAAAAATTTGCATAAACCAACCTAAATTGACCAATTTTGTCTTCAAATGTCTGATCTCGGCTTCCAAGCGAACTCTCATCGCCGACTCTCTCTCCAGACTGTTGGCCAGATTCTGGCTTGTTTGGCATTCAGTTTTGAGCAGATTCTCGATGTCTCTCAGCTGCTCATCCATCTGATTTCGACTTTGTTTCAGCTCGGAATTCTGGGATTCCAGTTTCTGAAGCTGCTGTTTCCATTGTTTCTCGTTCTCGTCGGCACTGCAAAGGAATGTAAAGATAATTTGGAGTGTTTATGGTAAAATACGGCAAGTCAAAATGGTCACTGGTTCTTCATTTTCCGAAAAGCTTGGGCTAAATCCTTTTCAAGCCTAAGGGGGCATGTCTCCTAGATTTGCGTAGACCGCTTGGTATGTCTTTACAGCGACTCTAAAAATTTTAGGGGTAAGAACTTTTGAAATTTTTGCCGCGGGAATTGGCGCGCTGACCCGGTGACCTTCCTGCAACCGTATGTTAGAAACTTCTGCAGATAGGACAAAAATTCTACTGTAAATATGTTACCTTAACACAGTACTTTCATGCCATGTATACGTTTTTTCACAAACTGTTTCATGGCAGGAAAAATCGAAGAAAAATTAATGTCCATTTTTTTTGGCCCACCCTGTACAATGAAAAAATTTTTTTGGCAAAAATCGAAAAAAATCATCATTTTTCGCAAACTTGCCAAAAATGATGACTAAAAAAAGTAAAATACGGAATTAAAAAAAATATTAGAAGAACTCACCGTGCCACTCCGAGTAGCGGGACCACTCTGACAAACAGTTTCCACCATGGCCATTCCCTCAATTTCAAGTATTGCGAGAGATTTCTTTGCAAACAAGTGATCGCTTGCTCTTGGATTCGACGTTTCTCCAGCCATTTCCTCGACAAATGAAGACGACATTCGCGTTGGAAGGCCTCAATCACACCTGAAATGGGGAAAAAATTATAGTAGGATCAATTTAAAAAGTTCGAAATTTTTGAATTCTCAGGTCCTAAAAATTAATTTGTGGTTTAAAAGTCTGAAATATGGTGTGAAAAGGTCCAAAATTAAATTATGTTGGCAAAAATTTACCAAAAATATTCAAATTGACCGATAAATAAGTAAAAAACCATCCAAAAACAGCTAACAGGAGAAGTACCCCAAGTGCGACGCTCATATTTTTATGAAACTTGGCACAAATTTAGAATAATTTTTTCTAAGATATATTTCGCGAAAATCCTGGCTCGCGCTTTGCAGAAACAACCGAAATTTCAAGATCAAAAGTTGGCGAAAATTTGACAATTTTTGCCGAATTTCGGCACGAAAAGTTTCATACCTATTTCTACCGTAAAGGGTATAGTTCAGCAAAAAATCAATTTTTTCCGCACGAAACTAGCAAAGTTATAGCCAAAAAGGGGTTTTCTCTCTGCCCGCTCTCCGCGTTTAGTGCACTCTCTCGGCGGCAATGAGCGTTGCACTTAGAGTAGTTCCCTTGCAAGAAAGGTAAAAAAAATCGAATATTTTCTAAAGTTCTCACCCGACAAACAAAGGTCCCTCTTCTCCTCGAGTTCTGCCAACACATCAGACCTGACCAACACCTGTGAGATGCCCAGACGATATCTGAATTCGAAAATTTGCATTTTCTCGAAGATCTTTTTGACGGCGGATCTGTCATCCAGAGTGTCGCTCAGGCTCAAATTTGTGTAGTTCTCCTTGACCAGACATTGGAAACGCCTCCGGAAGTCGCGGAAAGGCATTCTCTCGGGGTAGCCTCGGTTCGTGGCCCTCACCGAATCCATAATTAGGCCGGCGCGCAGCTGGGACCGGACCAAAGAAACGTCCATTAGGTCGGAACGACGTGTTCCGTCGACGGATTGCAGACAATGGATGAAATGAAGACGGTCCGAACGCTCCAAAAGCGAGATCAGATGGTCCTGCAACGAGAATGGGCGATATTATGGAGCTTCAAAGATTAGTCATATCAGGACCTAAAGTAATATAAAAAAGACGATTGTTTATATCGGAAACACATTATAAATTTTTGTCGAGACACTTTGGACCCTCTGAAAGTACAAAGAGCCAAAATCGATGATAAAAAGATTAAAAATTTAGTATTAACAAGGAAAGTACTTTTATGGGGGCTCCTACTTTTTGACGGGACATACCTCAAAAAATCAGAAAAAATGTGCTGATCAAGGACATATAAATCCTAGCTGCCCATTTTGGGTTTTTTGGCATGTTTTGGCCGTCGAAAGTTTTGAAATATTTGCAAGAGGAAAGAATAAAAGAGGATTTGAAAGGCAGGAAAACCGATGAGTGAGTGGCGCAGTTGGTTGCGCAGAAGACTGGGGTTTGTGCGGAGGGGGGTTCGAGTTCCCTTTTGTGATTTTTTTTTATTTTTTGTTTTTTTGCTGTAAAATACAAAATAAAGTTAAAAAACAATGATAGAGGCTTTTCATTTCCCGTTGGCTATTAATTAGAAGTCAAAAACGCGACTTAACGTCATCCCCTACTTCTAACGTCATCCCATTCTTACATTGTTCAATACAATACACAAACCGATCCGCCATCTCCTGTTCTTCTCTGGCAGCGGCTTCAGCGTCCCCAACACCATATTTGTCCAACAATATGGACACAACATTTTGCGGCGAAAATTCGGACATTTTATGACTGCACGTCACAGGAAAATGAGTGTTTCTTGACACCCTTCCGTGATTTTTTCGCGTCCCGACATTTCGGGTCAGGGACAACTCGGGTCGCGACAACTCGGGTCAACGACAACTCGGGTCAACGACAACTCGGGTCAACGACACTTCGGGTCAACGACATTTCGGGTCAACGATACCGTTTAATATTTTCGCTTCGGGACTGTGAAAAAAGAATTTTTTGGTGAATTTGAGAAATTTTTGAAATGTTTTCGCTTCGGGACTTGGAAAAAAAGGATTTTTTGTGAAATTTGAAAAAAATTTGAAGTGTTTTCGCTTCGGGACTGGGAAAAAAAGATTTTTTGGAAAATTCAACAAAATTTTGAAATGTTTTCGCATCGGAAGTAGAAAAAAGGGTGTCTGACTGAATATTAACTGTGGTGCCGGCAGCACTAAAATTTTGTCTAAAACCAATGGTACCACCTGGTACTATATAGTACCACGTGTTTTTGGGCTCTACTAAGCACCAAACCATCACCATTACTGCCTCATGACCAAATTTTCACTTCTCACAAAACAGTACCAGTTGGTACTATATAGTACCAAGTGTTAAAACGTGTTTTTGGGTTCTACTAAGCACCAAACCAACGCCATTACCGCCTTACGGCCAAATTTGCACCTCGTACTAAATAGTACCAGGTAGTACTATTTAGTACCAAGTGTTAAAAATGTGTTTTTTAAGCAGTACTAGGCACCAAAACAACACCATTAACGTCTAAAAGTGCTATAAGTCGAAAAATTTTCAAAAAGAATCCCTAAAGGCAGTAAGGTAACAGAAACCCAGTTTTCATATTCAGTCAGTTCATACTCAGTCAGCTCGAAAACCTTTCAAATTTTATTCAAATTTCACAAAAAATCCTTTTTTTCCAAGTCCCGAAGCAAAAACATTGAAAAATTTTTTAAATTCACCAAAAAATTCTTTTTTCCAAGTCCCGAAGCGAAAATATTAAACGGTATCGTTGACCCGAAATGTCGTTGACCCGAGGTGTCGTTGACCCGAAGTGTCGTTGACCCGAGTTGTCGTTGACCCGAGTTGTCGCGACCCGAGTTGTCCCTGACCCGAAATGTCGTAGCGCCGATTTTTTGGCTTCGTTTATGTTTTTAAGTCGCGTTTTTGACTTCTAATTAATAGCCAACGGGAAATGAAAAGCCTCTATCATTGTTTTTTAACTTTATTTTGTATTTTACAGCAAAAAAACAAAAAATAAAAAAAAATCACAAAAGGGAACTCGAACCCCCCTCCGCACAAACCCCAGTCTTCTGCGCAACCAACTGCGCCACTCACTCATCGGTTCCCCTGTCTTTCAAATCGTCTTTTATTCTTTCCTCTTGCGAATTTCAAAACTTTCGACGGCCAAAACATGCCAAAAAACCCAAAATGGGCAGCTAGGATTTATATATCCTTGATCAGCACATTTTTTCTGATTTTTTGAGATATGTCCCGTCAAAAAGTAGGAGCCCCCATAAAAGTACTTTCCTTGTAAGATAGGTGGAAATTACTAAAACAATATAAAAATCGATGATTTTAGATGGGAAAATGTAAATTTTATATTGAATAAAAAATAAAAGTCAACTTCCCGACGCACTGAGCATCTATTTTCGTCATCTTCGAATTCAAACCAACAGATTTTCATTTCAGATATCCGGGAAAATATAAAATTTTTGATATTTCGTCAAAAAGATGAATATTTCGAGCAAAAGCCCCAATTTTCACATCGAATATCACTTAATAATTAAACCCCTAAACGACTCTTTTCCAGCCCCATTTACTCCAAAATAACAGCAAAAATCGCGATTCGACCCAATTAAAAAATGTTTTAAAACCTGCAAAATAAAACCGATATCCCGAAATCCCTCGAATATCGAATTAAAAAAATGCAGAAACCCGCTTTCGGCTTGCAAAAACAACTCTCCCCGACTTACGAATTGACTGGTGATGGCTGTGAAGAAGCCGCCAAAGGAGCCTCCGCCGCCGCCGACCGAAGCCACGATTTCGTTCACTGATTGGGTGGCTCTGCGCAGTTTGTAGGAGCCTTCCTTCAGACCGGGCACTGTGAAGAGTTCGGAGATGTAGGGACTAAAAAGTTTTTAATATTTATCCAAGAAAACTTGAAAAAATGGATAAATCTTGGACATCAAATCATCATGTATAATATAATTTTTTCACTCAGATCCGAGAAGGTCGATTTCCTTCAAATTATGCGTGGATTCACTAAAAACCTCTTGGACTAATGCTTGAAAATTTCAGCTTAATCTTTGCAATAGCACCCGAGATATTCAAAGATCTTTGGCCTACTACAATATCATGGATAATATAATTTTTGCCTCAAAAACGACTTCAAAACGGCAGAAGTGCATCAAATTAGCCGAAGAGACCCTAAAAAATCTAGAATCGACTTTTTCCATCAGACAAAAAAATCTAAAATTGTTTCTTCACCAAAACCAAGGATAATATTACTTCCGAGTAAGAAAACTTATTCCCCGAGCTACAATATGGGTTCACAGACGCAACACAAGCCTCTACTCTCAAATTCATTCAACAAATAGTAATTGAAACTCTATCCTGGCCTTGTTTTCCGTATAAACAAGCATTTCTCCTTATTTTTGCAAAAAATGATGACTAAACGGGTAAAAATAGAAAATTTTTTATATTGTTTTGGATGATAAATGCTGCAAGAAAGGGTCCGTGAGAACGGTCTGAGGTCATAAAAAATATGACCTTTTAATTATGACATTAAGAAAACTTATTTTTCGAAAAGTCATCAAAAAATCGGTTAAAAATAAAAATTTTTGCCAAAATTCATTCGCAAAATTCACAAAACTACTTCTGAAATTGTAAAATACGGACATGATAGACGGGTCTTCAAAAATTGCCATGCTTTTTTGCAAAAAAATCTCAAGAAACGGATTAATTTCCCTCCAAAAGAAGGAAGTAGAAACTCCAAATCTCGGTTCCAGTTTCAATCCAATATTGGCTGAGTTTATACGAAAATAAACTAATCACAGTCTACTCCTCCTATTCCGACTACTACTTACTGCTCGCAGATTGTTGTTGTCGGGAACTGAGGCTTTATTTCAGAGATGACATTATACTTGCAAATGGAGGAAAAATTTTTGGCAAAAAGGGGGGAGTTGATGATGGGGAGTGGGAAATAAGATGGCTACGTGATTTTGAAAGAATAAGCGAGACATTTGAGTGGGTTGTAAAGTGATTATGATAATTTTTTAAATTAATTTTTCTTTTTCTAGGAATTCTTGAAAGCGGAAGTACTTGAGAATCAAAGCCCAAAGGTTGAAAAAAAGGCAAAAATACGGAAGAAAGGTCACAAAGGTCATGATAGATTTTTAGCTCACATTTTGCGAAAGTCACCAAAATTTTTTATCGAAAAATTTCAGAAGTTTGGAATTTCTTCCATTTTTTCAAAGTTCAATTTCCTATCTGTTGCAAATGTAAAGCCAAAAATTTCTATAAAAAATCTACTTGTTCCTCACAAAATTGAGAAAGACATGGCCAAAAAAATTTTTCTCTGACCGTCCTCCTCATTCTCCGTACTCTCTCGTACGCAAAAATCTTTGAATATCTCCTCTGTGGTTATAAAACGCGAGCTAAAATTTTCAATAACTGATATGTAGGCTGCATGAAGTTTATGTCCAAAATTTGGGTTAAATCTGACTACTGACCTCGAAAAATTTCGAAAAAAAATTTGATGAGAATTCAAAAAAATTAAAATTTTTTGGTATACCAGACACCACGGTGTTTTTATTTTAGAAATTTTTTAGAAAAAAGTAATTTTTTTGAACTCTCCACCTCTTTAACCCACCTTTCCGTGTTCTGGAGCACCTGCGTCAAGGCGAAAATGGCTCCACTCGGTTTGATTTTCTTGAGCCATCCGTTCACCTTGTATCCCACCGAGAATTGATTCAATCCATGGCCCAGATTGAACTGGAATCTGTCCTTGGGCGATCGGCGGACCAACTTGCTCTCCTCCCAATGCATGAACACCCGCTCGATCAGGCTGTTTTCGTTGGCTCCGGGGAAGACGGACTCCTCTTCCAGCACGAAGAAGATCCCGCGCGGCTCTTCGCTGCGCTTCTCCACGTCCGCCGAGTTCAGGAGCTGTTGTTTGCGGTCGATTAATCGACACAAATGAGCGGGTGTGGCGAGCGGTCGCTCCACTTCCACCTCCACTTTCTCCCGCTCGTACAAATCGAGCGGGGACTTGAAGTTGGACTTGTAGAAGAGCTCGGAGATCCGCTCATTGTAGTAGTTGTAGATGAAGTCGGAGAGATCGGCGGGTTCGGAGGTGGAGTTCAAGAATGTGGAGCCGGGGATGTCCAGCAGAGAGATGGTGGTGAAGGCGGTGCTCTTGTTCAAATACTTGTTGATTTGATTCGTTATGGCGCCGAATAATTCGTTGTAAAGGGCTTGTACAAACGATTGGAGAGCTTCGTTTCCGGTTTGGTTCACGAGTTTGTAACGGCTGAAATGCATGGAATATGATTTTGATTTTAAAAAATTTTTTTTGAAAAACAAAAAAACAGTCAAAAGATATCACCATTCACAGCAAAAAAAATAAAATAAAATTTTTCAAAAAATTACAGTAACCCTACCTGCTCTGATCAAAGTTCTGCGAGCCCTTGAAAACGGCCAAATTGAGCTGATCGAAGCTGATTCCCAGCAAATCCGCCGCCTTCTCTGCATTGGAATGCCTTGTGAATGCTGATTTCGTCGCCAAATTTCCCTGCGCTCCCGAATAAATCAAATGCAGAATGGCGGCCAAGACTTTTTGCACGGCCAGAATTTGATTTTCCGAAAAATTGAGATTCCTGAACGCCTCCAAAACACGATGGAACGCTTCACTGGCCGCATTCCGATCCGTCTCCGAGAGGTTTTCGTCGAAAAATGGGCGATCGATGAGGTCGAAGCCGAGGGATTCAAAGGTTTTGGTGTCCAGGCCCTCCCAGAGGTAGTAGAAAATGTGGAAAGTGGAGTCGGTGGGCTTGCGGGAGGTCAGTTTCTCCAAGTCCAGGAATAAAGTTTGGATCTTCGCCGAGCTAAAATACGAAAAATTTTATCAAATTAAAAGGGCTTCAAAAAATATGAAAAATTCTTTTTTTAATTATACGACCTTCCAATGTAAAAAAATTAACAATTCAAAAAAAAATCTTAAAGCCAAAAAAGTCCTAAAAATCCGAAAATAAATTCTTTGCTTACTTTAATCCACTAGCCGTGTCGAATCCAAGGCTAATCAGTTGAACAAATCTCGAAGAATTCTGGTTCAATTCAGTTGAACAATTGCCAAATGCTTCCAAAATTCCGATCGCCAAAGAGATTTCTTCGTCTAAAATAAATTTCGATGATATTTGTACTGTAAAATAAGTTACATAAATTTGATTTTTAAACCAAATCAAGCAATATTTTTTGAATCTACAGTATCCTTACAGTCCTATTAACAACTTACAAGTCAATCTTTTCGTCCATCCCGCACATCCGCAGAGGAATTCAATGAAATTTCGAATCTGCTGACTCTTCCCCGAGCCCGAGACCCCATTAAAAACCACCGATTGTGGCCTCGACGTGATCTGTAATTGTCTGTAGACCTGCTGAGCTGTAGTGTAGATATGGGCGGGCATCTGGCTTCGCCTGCAGCCTTTGAAAAGCCTGATCAAATCCTGATTCAAACCCTTGATCTCCTGACTTTGCGAGGCCATATAAATCAAGTTCCGAGGGCCCGCCGAGGTGTACTGCAGGCCACTGCCAAGTCGATTCCTTAACAAATGAATGGCCGAGGTCTCGTTGATATTCTTCAAGGCCGCAATGTCATTGGCGCGATCGAAATTGGGGGGATTTGCCTTGTCCAGATCCGACGAATCGACGGTCATTTCCTGATCCGCCACTTTGATTTTGACCAGCCCATCTGGTTGATGATCCACAACCTCCACCAGACTATAGCCCGCCGAATGTACGAGCCAATAGCGTTTATCCTCCGGGATGTTTAGATCGGTTTCTTTGAACTGGCTAAATAATTGAAGCTGATCCCCGGAAACCGCGGTTTTTGTGGCCAATTCGGCAAGTTCGGGGACGACTTGGACACGAAGACGGATGCTTTGACCTGCTTCTTGGATCAGAGTCAGAAGTTCATCTCGCTTCAGACGATTTACATCCCGACCTTCCACTTGAAGCAGTTGGTCTCCCGGCAAAAGGCCGTTGAGAAGATCGCTCGGCCGCGGAGGGCCGTTCAAGTGGTCGACGGGCTCGGCGAAGACCAAATGCGATATTTCTGTGCCATTCTCGGTTGTTATTGGATATTGAATTCGACGGATCGTAAAGCCAAAGTCACCTGCAGATAAAAAAAATTGGTTTTTTAAAAAAAATTTCAAAATTTAACTTTTCGAAACTTTTTTTTGACACAAGATTTTAGCCAGAAGTGTGAAATATGATTACTAAACAATTTCAGAGTCTTTCAATATGTTCTAAACACAAAAAAGCTTAAAATTATATTATTCATGACCTACCAGCCACATTCCGGTGCAACACCACATCCCTCGCTTTGATTTGAACCGACTCCAACGCCGGCAAACTCAAATTGGGAATGTTGAAGGTTTTGGGCAAAGAATAAGTCAGATCCGACGACATATCTGACCTCGGACTTGTTGAACTTGATGATGGTTGACTGATCTGGTTCGGAGAAGCCGTCAAAGTCTTCAATGGGCTGCGCAAGGGATCATTTGGGTCCCTCTCAGGACTTTTCGCACCTGGAAAAACTTTTTTTTATTGTCTGTTATTCTGAAATTGTAAAAAAAATATTATAGTAATTTTGCATCGCACTGTGCAAAAATTTCAGGGATTGCCAAAAGTTGGCGGGAAACGCCGAAAAAGTCGTCCGATCTGGCAAGTTAAGCAACAAAACGCTTGATTAGCAGCGGGTTCGAGTCCGGGTGGAACTTATACCACAAAAATAAAAGAAAAAGTGAAATTTCAAAAAAATTTCTAAAAAAATCAAAATCAAAGAGCCGTAAATGTTATTTTACAGTCGAAAAAATCGTCGCTTCCCGGATTCCCCGGAGTAAATCCGCAAAATTTTGAGAAAATCCGCAAAAATCCGTGGATCGAAGGCGTTTCGGGTTATAAAATTGTTATTCTGGGTTCGCCGACTGCAAGAGAACTCCGGGTTTGGTGAGAAAAACACGCGAACCCCACAGATGACCTTCTCCATTCTTCGCTTCGATCACTCCTCGCCCTCTTCCACTCGTTTTTAATACCTGGGACGGGCGGGGAGATGAGTCCAAAAATGTTAATCTTGTGTACAAAAGCGGGAACGGGGAACCGGGATGCGTCACAAAGGGGATTTCACGTTTCGCGGAGGGCGAAATCGGGGGAAATTATATTGCTTTGGGTGATAAAAAGTGGGCTGATGGGATCAGGTGACTATTACAATATAAAAAATTGTAAAATCTAGGTGTAAAAATGTGAGTGGCTAAAATCTGCACGTATTTTAGAACCTTATTTCAGGAAAAATTTACAAAAAAATATTTTTTTTTTCAAAAATCAAAAATTTTTTTCGCCTTTTCGCCGTAAGAATTACTGTATATATCCCTAAAATCCAATGCACTAATCGTGAAAACTGACCTCCTTGTTTGAACAGTCGATTCTTCGTTTCCTCGAGCCTTTTTATTTCGGCCGCCGACAACTTTCCCTCAACATTATGGGCCGATGTAAGCCCACTGAATTGGAGGATTCTCTTCTTGAAGGATTTCTTTTCCCCCGACTTTGGTGGGATTGCTGGAGCCTGGCTCGGCTTCACTGGGACCACTGGGACCGAGTTCTCTTCGTTCTGCGATTTCTTTTGACGATGCCACATTTTGGGCCTAAATTAATGCAAATCAATGTAAAATCTTAACAAAAATCAGTAGTAAAGTATTTCCGAACGCTTTTAAAAGTACAAACACAAGTAAAAATTAAAATTTTAAAGTCAATTTAGCCCATAAATCCCCGAAACCCCAAATAATTTTGATAAAAATCAGCTCTAAACCCTTGTAAATCCTCTCAAATCCCCTGACAATCCCTATCCAGGAGATTTCCCCTCCAAAAAATGACCTCAAAATGGAGCGAACGACCTTTCCGAGAGAGGGAAAATTCGTGTCAAAAACCATGGAAATTACTCCATTAACAAGCGAAATTTCTATTACAAATTTTGCTCAAAAATCAAAAGTCAAAGGGTGAAAAAACACCTGAGCAAAGCGGAATGCCCATCAAAAATACATTGAGTGGTGGCCATTCGATCGGGCCGATATCTCGCGATATCCCCCCTTCCTTTTTTTACCCCCAAAAAAGCGCCAAAAATTTGGATGCGACCCCCAAACGCTCTGACCTTCCGAATCAAAAAAAGAGGCAATCGGAGGAACGGAATCGGAGTGAGTCACCCACTTTATTACAGTTTTATCTTTTTCTCTTTGTTGGGTTACTGTAACAGGAGTCAAAGTCGAATTTCGAAAAATTACAGTAGTCCTTGAACTAAATTTTTTTTGGAAATAACAATTTTAAGCCAGACTCCTTTTTGCATCAAGTTTCAGTATTAATTTCATAATTTTTTGAGGGTTACTGTAATATAAGTTAAAGTAAAATTTTACTAAACAGTAAACATTACAGTAACTTTTAGTCAAAACAGATTTCGAGAAACATTTTTAAGTTGTAATAAAACCATTCAAACCCGTCCTCTCCCAAAATTCCTCAAATTCCAACATCACCTCGCCTTATCACTAAAACAACATAATTTGCCGTCCATCGCATAATAATCGTATTTTAAACCCTTCAAAAATTAAATAAGACCCCCTTCACGACCACAATCACAACACCTACATGTATTTTCTGACTCCGGACACTTCTCTTCCCATCAAAAAAACAGCGAAAATATTGTAAAGTACTGAAGAATTCTTATCATTTATCACAATCAATATTAGAGATATAAAATTATAGGAAAGTGCGGAATAATAATAATAAATAGGAGCGGGGGTTTACTCCACTTCTGGGACGACTGGCTCTTCTTCGCGAGGCTGGGGAATCACTACTTCCGCCGGTTTGTTGTCATTGATATCATCACACTGCGAGGCCTGGGAATTGATCATCTGTTCGCAGAGGGGCTTGCGGGCAAGTTTGTCGGCACGACGGAAGAGGATGATCTCCTTAAAGAAAAGAACCAATAACAGTATTCACAAAAAATTATCAAAAATCAAAACATTTATGACATCGGTGGCCAAACTCTATCCTAAAGTAATATCAATCACTCATTCCAAGTGCAAATACTTTCCTTAGGCTGTAAAAGCCTTACTCTAAAATTTTCGCAACATCAACTTCAAAAAATCAACATTTTTTTTATGTTATACATGAGCAAGGTAAAGGTCCAGAAACTCATAACTAAACCAACATTTTCACTTCATTAAATTATTTCTCATAATTCAATGAAGTCACCATCTAAAAACCAAAACAAAATTTAAAATTCTTACATGCTGTTTGTAGTATCTCCGATCTTCTTCATCCACCAACACCAAATTCAGGTAATATCGGACAGAAAACCTCTTTCCGATGTCGTTCATGGTGGGTGTCAGGTCAAACGAAGACAAAAACAATCTAATAGGAATGCTCTCGCCCTTGACTGGGGCCCCATCCATAATCTCGTACTTGCCAACCGTATCCGTCTCATAAAAAAGGGAAGGTCCAGATCCAACTGACTCCTTCTTCAAAATCGACAATTCCATGTTTTTAATCTTGATTCTGACCAGTAAAAAGTAAATCTTTCCAACGATCACATCCTTCAGATGGTATTTCGACTTGTTGTATTCAAATTCAATGTGAAGACAGTCTTCAATTCCCACTTCCATCTTGATGTTGGGCTCATTTTCTGGATAGGCCGAGAGGGAATGGACAATCAAGGTCTTCTCCGCAGTCAAGTCAGTGAGTCGACGGCTGATTGTAGCTCGAAGGAAGTATCTGCAAGAATAAAATTGCAGTAGGATATTAAATCCAAAATTTTTTGAACTCATGTCATGGATTATATTCATATAACTTCTATCCAAAATACGCCGAAAGCAAGCAAAAACTACTATCCTTACCTCACTTTGACATTGACACCCATGTAGCTCTCATACGGCTTGGACACATTGGCAAAACTGAAGGAGAACACGGCGTTTGACGTCAGGTCTCCAGGTCTGGCCAATTCCTTTGCCAAACAAAGAAATTCATGTTGGTTTCCTCGATCATAATACACTTCTAAACTCAGAATTGCAATTTACCAACAAAAAACATACCAATTTGTCCTAATAATTCAATTCGAATGCCCTGATGTTCCAATTTCTGACCCGCTTTCTTCAATCGAATGCCCAGTTCCCCAGCCACCGTTTCTCCATCAAAAAATAAGTGATGCGTCTCCTGTCCACCGTCCTCGGAGCGGATCGATGCCGTCTTACGTGTCGCCTCATCTACCAAAGTGATGGAGAGTTCCGCGGATTGCCCGAAACCAAAGAACGACTAAAACAAGAGGTCATGGATAATATCATCGCATAAAAAACGTACCATTTACATAAAAAAGAGTCTAATTACAGCTAGGTACAAAATATACAAGATAGGAAGGAATAAACAATCTCTTTTCGTTCGACGATAAAAAATTCCCGGAAAAAATATTATTGATACGGAATGCCAAACCATTTCTTCGCAATGCAATTTTTCGTGGCGGAAGAAACTTCAAAAGCAGGAATTTGCAAAATAAGCTGCCAAATTACTGATACAGTATTTATTCGTCATTCAAAAGGGGGCAGACCATATTTTTCGGGCTTAAATTCCTCCATACTCTTCAAGATCTCGTCCAATTGAGGTTTTAACTTCTCCACGGCCGCTTTCGAGGCGTCGCATTGGAATTCCCATTGTGGGATCATAATACAATGCATTCCGGCACTCAACGCGGACTTGCATCCATTCACCGAGTCCTCGAAGACGAGGCAAGTGGCCGGATTGGCTCCCAAATCCTTCGCACACTGCAGGTACGGGTCTGGATTCGGTTTTCCATTCTTGATTCTGGGGTCGGAGCCGGCCAGGATTCGGGTCGGAATCAACTCCATCCATTCCTTCAGGTTGCGAGTCTTGATTTCGAACTCATCGGCGGCTGAGGACGTGCAGATGGCAATGGGGACCTTGTTTTTGTGGAGATGGCGGATCAAACGATCGGTGCCGGGGAGCGGCTTCACATTGGAAAGATGCTCTTCATAGAGCTCAATGTATTGCTGGAAGTGCATAGAATCGGTTTTAATTAAATCGAAGACATTTTATATACAAAAAAATCACAAATTTTTTTTAGTTTGCTGAATTTGGAAAAAAAATCAAAAATTTGTTGGGATTACTGTAACTTACTGCCGAAGTAAACTGGCAAAAAATTTTCAGAGATTTATAGACCATAGTACAACTCCAAAAATCCAAATTTAATCTTTCATTAGACACTAAATTCAAACCCAAAGTTAACCCTACTACAATATCCCAGCCCCCTCCCTACCCTTTCATACTCCTTCTCACTGATCTGACCTTCAAGTCCGTTCATTTTCAAGACCGTATTGACCTCATCCTGCTTCCTCATCCCTTGAATTTGCAGTTTTTGCTCCAAATTGAAGCTTTTCCCCCATTTTCCGAGTAATTTGGCGTGCATTTGAGAGTAGAGGTCTTCAGAATCCACCAAAATCCCGTCAAAATCAAAAATGACGTGCGTGATCTTGGGTTGGGGTTTGGATTGGAGAATGCCCATAGTCAGTCAGTCAGTCAGTGAGAAAAGAAAGGTCAAGAAATCGACCGGTCAGTTGGGAGGAGGGGATGAAATGGAGTGGGAAGGGTAAAAGTTCGATGCTTGTCGAATATGGACAATCAGAAATAAAAAAATCGCTTCAAAAATCGCTATTATGGCCGAAATTCGTTTACTTTTTTTGAAAAAAAAATCGTAGAGAAATCTGTGAAAAAAAATTATATTTATTATCCATGATAACCATGATGACTATGGTTAAACTTATATTTTGATTAAAAGCATAATAGTTTTTTTAAATCACTTTATCACTAAACACCTCACAGTTTCAAAAAAGTCACCGCTTTTGCCGTAAACCTACCTTATACATCTCCTCTTCGCTCACAATCCCTTCCAATCCCGCCATTTCGATGAGAATTCGAATTTCATCCGGAATTGGTCTCCCTTGCGTAGCTGCCTTCATCTCCGGACTCAGTTCTTTGCCGTACTTAGCCAAGGCTTTTCTGTGCATCTGAGAATACATTGCCTCGGATTCCACCAAGGTCCCGTCCATGTCGAATATAACATGGGTGATTTTGGGGTGATCATCCTTTGACAAGACCTCCAGCGGAGCCATTTTATAAAAGTAACAACCTTGATTTTTATAAAAATTATTAAAATGTTTAATCGAATATTCCTTCTGGTTCATCAGAAATTTTCTGAAGTTATATCAGGTTTAATTCAAAGGATAAGCAAGAAATCGATTTTTAAAATAGACATTGACGTCATAAATAATATAAATTGTTACCACAGTCATCAATATTCACTCAATTACTATTTTACACTACTACTTAATAAAATTTACTACTATTTACAGCACAAATTTGTATAAAAATTATAATCTCTAGGGAAACCATCTAAGAAAAATTTTTTTCCATAAAACAAATCCGAGTATTCTATGAAAAAGCATTTTTATTTCTAAGCAAAAAACTTCGACCTTTTTGTTATTATTAATAGTACGTCTACGAAAAGTTAGGTCAAAACAAACAAGCTCTACTTCCGATGTCATTGCCAATTTATTGCGTAATTTTTAAATAAGTGTTATCAGTAGGCGGAGTTTGATTAAAATCAACTGGAGCATGATAATAGTAAGTTTGTTTTTGGTCTAGAAGCTTCCGCGTTTTGTGATTTTCACGTGAAAACAAAAATTTATTTCCAGAACATTAAAATCGATAAATTCGAATCTGATGTCTAAAACAATATAATGGGATATTCAGATTTTCTCAAAACTTATTTCACACAGGTTCCGAACTAAATTCCATAAAAGGCAAGGCTTATCAAGGAAATAAAAAGTTCAACTCTTCCGTATTTTACACTTTACTGTGTAAAAATCTACTATAACACAAGTTAGTGTCAAGTCAAAGTTGATGGCGTCTGAACGCCAGTTCACTTCTTCACGTTCTTCGGGGGCCTTTCGTGTCGTTTTTCATGCGCCGAACCTAAAGCAAGTCCATAGGGAGTAGCGCGTCGGAACACTTCCGAAATGGCGGAATAGTGACACTTCCGGAAAAAACAAAAAAATAAAACTTGTCTGCACCAGCTGAACCGTCTGGATGGATTTACAGTTATTGACTTCATAAATTTTGTTATTTTTTATGATTTTTACACAATTTTTTCCTTAAGTAGTATAGTATTTTTTACAATTTTTACTAAAAATACAGGGTCTTTCAAGAAATGTGCAGGAAAGTAGGAGGCTATAACTTTCGGCAGAGGCGGCGCAGAGAGTTCGTTTTTGGAATATGTATTTTTCAGTGACATTATTTTTTGCCTACGAAATAACAAGATTTTTAAGTGCAAACTGAGGTCGCTACAACCTTTTGAAAAAGGGGTCTTTTACCCCGAAAACCAGGGGTTTTCGGTTGAAAATGATCGAGAAATTTCAGAGTTTTTCGGTCGAAAATCACCGAGAAATGTCGGGTTTTTTGGGGGGTTTCGATAGAGTTGACGTTGAAAAAAGGGAAGGATGTTGCCAACACGTTGGAAATTAAGCAAATATTCGGCTACTCTTTATTCTGACACTTTGGCTAGCCAGTTTTTGCTAGCCGATTCCAGGTTCCTCAAATCCCTAAATGATGTCACGCTTCTTCGCGGAAGATACTGAAAAATAAACTCGAAATCTGCCCCAAGTTGAGGCTAGCCGAATATTTGCTTAATTTCCAACGTGTTGGCAACATCTTTCCCTTTTTTCAACGTCAACTCTATCGACACCCCCGAAAAAATCCGACATTTCTTGGTAATTTTCAACCGAAAAAGACCGAAATTTCACGATCATTTTCAACCGAAAAAACCTGGTTTTAGGGGTAGAGATGCCTCTACTTCAGAAGGTCGTAGCAACCTCAGTTTGCATTCTAAAAGCTTGTTATTTCGTATTCAAAAAATAATGTTGCTTAAAAATACATATTCCAAAAACGAGCTCTCTGCGCCGCCTCCGCCAAAAGTTATAGCCTCCTACTTTCCTGCACATTTCTTGAAAGACCCTGTACTTGATTAAAGGGCTTTTGATGACATTGGTAACCATAAAACTGCCTAAAGACATTTTAAAATTTCGATTTTGGTTAAAAATGGTACTAACTAACAGTACTTCTAAACAAAAAAGTAAAAATCAAAAAAAAATTTACAGAACTTTCGAAATTAATAACGGTAAAATTTAATCCATCCAGATGGTTCAAATGGTGCTTCCAACCTTTACTTTTTTGTTTTTCCCTGTTCCTGTGTCACTATTCCGCCATTCCGGAAGTCTCCAAATTTCGGAAATGTCATCAAACTTGGATAATTTTTATATTCCACTAGACCCCTTACTTCTTCCGATTCCCTTTGGTTTTATCTTCTCAATTCCTGGCCACAGATCCTTTCTCAATGTCCAATCCTTCCTTGGATCCAACTTCTTTTCATCCGAATGTAACAACGAATCGTAGTTATGCAATCCCATACATTCCACCATCTTTTTGGCGAACTCAACCCCTCGCACCGAATTTCCACAACGATCCAGTTTCGGAGAATACAAACATATGCCCATCACGTTCGGAATGACCAAGATCAGTCCTCCAGAGACCCCAGATTTGGCCGGAATACCGACGGAAAAGGCGAACTGCCCACTGTAGTCGTACATTCCACACGAATACATCAAAGAAAGGACGTCACGACAAGCTCGATGGGTCACACAACTCTCTCCAGTCAATGGGCAGACTCCTGAAACCATCAGCGATGTTATTCATGGAAAAAATTATTATATTCAAATGAAAAAACAAGTTTTTTCGTGGGATATTACACTTGACCTAAACCAACAAAAAAAATCTCAAAAACTCGCCTCCATTGGCCAAAGTAGCCGCCATAACTGCCGCACTCTCACAATCAGTCTCCAACGAGCATAATTGGAAATACAAATCGAGTTCATCTCGCATCACCTTCATGCCTTCAGGGAAGCAATTATTTTCCTTCATAAAAAATGCCAAAGCAAAGTTCCTGGAGGCAGTTGAGCGCTCAGATAAGAACGTAGCATTGTCAAATCCAATGTAAGTGCCGCCAGCCAGCTTCTTGTACTCATTGTAGATCTAGAATCCAATAAAAAAATTATTTTTTACCTAAACATCAGACGAGAGCAAGTATAACAAAGAAAACTCACAAAATCATATCTATCGGACATAAACTGGCCAGTCTTGATCAGAGATGCGCAGATGATGGCTCCAGCATTTACCATGGGATTGTGCGGCTTCATGTTGTTATCCAAACAGATGTCATTGAACAAGCGACCGGAGGGTTCTTGTCCAATATATTGATGAACCTTGTCCGACCCAATGTCCGTACTGACCACAGCATACGTAAACGGCTAGAAAAACGTGTGGAACCCTTCAAAAAATTGTTTTTCCTTTTGAAAAAAAATTTTTCGCAAAAATAACAGAATGCCACCAACTTTTTGGCATTGAAAACTTTCGTGGTTGGACTTAAAAATAGTCGTCAAAAAGGCAGAAAACGCAAAGTACTAATGCTGTGACTTACCTTGGAGACTGATTGGAAACAAAATGGCTCTCTGGAATCGCCAATTCCGAATCTTTGGCCATCCACGGTGCAGACCGACATCCCCCAGCTTTCCGGATTTTGTCTGGCCAATTGAGGAATATATGTGGCCACGGAACCATCGTTGTTTGAACGGCACTGAAACATAGAGAAAATGCTTTTATTTATATTCATTTACCTCTTCAAACATCATGGTCATCTTCTGAGTGAACGGAGTCCAGGATGGGATGATCAGTTCGTTCCGGACAGCCTGACTAATTAGGCTCAAACAAGGCCGAACGCATCTAAGATATCGTATTTGGCTTTATTAATCGATTTTAATATTCAAAAATATCCAAAACCCATTTTTTTCTCCCGTTTCCGCCAAAACACATTTCATCGTATAAAATGTCGCTTACTCGAGAAACTCTGTCTTTGGGAGTCTGTAATGTCTGACATCGCTGTCCAAGTTCCGTTTCTTCACAAATTTCCTCAACAATTTTTTGGAAGTTGTGATTCTCGGATCGTCGGCCCGAATTCCCCGAGTTTTGACGATGTCCGACAACTCTTTTGTGGACGCCTCGTCCGTTCCTTCGATTTGAAATCGTTTGAAGATTTCGTCCTCTGAGAGTATGGGAGATGCTCCTTCTTTTATAATCACGCTTGAGTAGAGACGAGGGGAAAATTGGGCTGAAATTTGAGATATAAGAATTTGCTGATATTGTGGTAGATATTTTTGGCTAAAACTTGTAATCTTGCCTTTGAAAAGTCGTTGAATGACTGGCCGGAACATCAGTAAAGCCAAAACCAACCAGATTTGACAATTTTAAAGTCAGTAATGACATTTTTCTAAACGGATTATATTGTTTTAGTCGAAATTGGTCAAAATTTTCGATTTTTTTGATGTTTCCTTCGATTTCTGACTGTTTCTGGCCTGATTTGATGACTTTATGAGTTTCCAAAAAAATGGACATAAACTTTATTCAATATTAAAGCCACAATTATATATAAATACATATGTGTTATCATAGATACAAACATAATTACGTCTTCTTGAACTGACCATACAAGTGAAAAACGGGAGAGGAGTACAATTTTCATTGGGTTTAGACCTTACGTTAGCAATATTCCAACCCTAAAATACGACCTAATTTTGGACAAAATGACCTTACTTTGATGGGAATTCAAGAGGAAATCGTTTGGTGAACTGGCGGATTACTTACAGAAAAAGTGAAAGAATACTGTAACCATATAGTCGTTTAACAATCCGAGTCTAAGGGGCGGCTATTTTCATAGATCGAAGCGTCTTTTCAAGGGCAGAGAATTTCAGAGTCGAGATTTTGATTAATCGAAGGAAAGAGGGAGAGTTTTGGGGGGATTATAGAATATTGGATCGGGACAATTGCAGTGAGGACCTTAGCTGTCATTAGCAATTTAAAAAGTCTCTAAAAATCGTTATTTTCGGCCATTTTTAGAGATTTTTTGTCTAGTCTAATATAATTTTTGGCTCGAAATGAAGTAAAATATATTCTAGAAGACACAAAAGGCTGTAAAATAGCTGTAGCCGTCAATTTTACAAATCAAAATCACCGAAAATTCAGGTTTTTGTCCAATTGTCTAGATGATGACCTACTACTGCATAATCGGTCCCCAAAAATGAGATTAAAGACGATGAAAGCTGGTGATTATTGTAAGGAACACACCCTTAGGCTGATAAAACTTTTTTTTCGATTTTCATGCAAACAGATAATGTTTTAGCGCGCATTTAGTTCGAGGTGACATCTGAGGGGGATGGAGAGTATACGGAAATGCTTGGGGGAGTACAAAAGCTGATATTGGAAGAAGTATTGAGACTTCTACGGACAAAACATGGGTAAATAGTACTGTAAAATTGAAAAGGAAACTCGTGAAAAAAAGTGAAAAATTGAGTAAAAACTAATTGATTACTAGATAACCGTTAAACCGAAGGCTCTTCCGTGCGCGCTCTCTTCAAGCAGGGACCGTCGTCCTCGTCCACCACTCGACTCCGACTGTTCTCCAACTGTCTGACCTCTTCTTTGTACTTTTCCAGCTTCATTTTCGCCAACTCGGCTTCGAACTCGGACTTTTCCAACTGTTTTTCGGCCGCTTTCTCGTACAATTGTTGGGTTCGGAGTTGCGAAAGGAGGATGTCGCGTTTCATGGAGTCGGTCGAGGTCAGGGGACTGGCTGGAGCGGGCTGCACCGTCTCGTTGTGGACGGAGTTGGCCGAGGATTCCGTGGGCGCGGCGCTGACATTGGAATTGGCGCGCTTTTCGGCCGTTTTTGGCTCTTCCACCGGCTGATGCGAGTTGACGGCGAACTGAAAAAAATAGGAGGGTAAAATACGCGGATTTTTTTTACATAATCTCATCTTATTTAGCTAGAGGGAAGCAAAAAACTAAAAAATTTTGAGGTTTTTCCGAAGAGGGATCCAAGAGGGATTGTTCAATGTTTTAAACGCTTTTTAGGATAACTTAAAATACTTTGTAGATTGTAGTCTTACCTGAGCAAAGGCTTCGGCACTTCCAGTTTGCGAGTTAATCAACGAATTCAACAGACTCGCGACCGCTTGACTCTGCGGGTCGAAGGCGTTTTGCGGCGACTCCGTATACCTCTCCGACGCCGGAGAGGATCCATTCTCATTCTTAAACTCCATCACTCCGAATCTGGTCTCATTTGAGTTCAGAATCTCCATCATAATCAGGTCGAACTCAGTCTCGGGCATCGCTCCATGTCCTTGTTGGGCCAGGGTCTGTCGATGAATCGCTTTTCGGCGGATCTGCTGGAAGTCCACATCCCGCACGGTCTGCCAAGTTTTGCGTTCGAATCTGGAGACTCCGTTCGCCACCATCTCTTTGCGCAGCGACTCCCATTCCTCTTCCTTTCGCTGCTGGGTTACGTTACTTCCGCGGCCGGGCTGCGCGAACAGAATCGATTTGCGACGATGAATGGCGCGGGCCAGCATTAAATGGACATCTGCCGGCTTCATCTTGTTGAAGGAGAGATTGGAGGAGGAGGAGGAACCTGAAAATAATTATGTCATTTTTTGGAGAAAGGATTATGTTATTTTACATGGGTTTTGTATTATATAAACCATAATTTTTGTCAAATTTTGATAAGAAAATTGCTGGATTTTGATTTATTTTGTAGTGAAAATCCGCAAAGATGGCAAAAAGGAACAATTTAGTTCCTAAAAATTTTAAATTCTTACGATTTTCTAGCTGAAATCCACAAAAAATTTTCCAAAAGGTTCAATTTGACAATCAAAATGACAGCACAACTTGATATGACTAAAATGACGGCAGTTGGACAACGTGACTGACGCGTCAAGTTGACGACTTAACAACCCGAGAAAAAACTTTTTTTTTCATTTTTTTGGATTTTTTAAAAACTTCTCACACTTTTGAAAAATTAAAATACAACTTACTGGTATCATTGACATCATTGAACAAGTTTAGATTGTAATTATTCGAGTACAATTGGAGGCTGTTCAAAGTTTCCCGATCCCAGCCGGCTGCCGATAAATTAAGGTCCGGATTCGCGACAGCAGTCATTTTGAAAGCGGTCTGAAAGTTTTACCTCAACTTTAGGCCGTCATATAACTTTTAAAACGGGTCAATTCTCGAAAAAATTTCAAAATCATAGTGCAGTAGAGAAAGGTTAGTAAAGCCGAAAAATTCCGACTTCAAAATGTAAGTCAAAACCCCAAAAATAAACATTTTGTGGGGAGTAAATTAAATTTTATTGGCGGCCATAAAATCATAAAAATATTCGTTTCGAAAACGCGTTTTTCGGCCGCTCTCGGCCGCTCAGTCAATTCAATTTGTCAAATGTCAATTTCAGCATAAAATTTTCGGAAAGGTCCATAAAGAGGAGTGGGGGAAGAGGGGACTAAAAAGGGGATGGAAAAGTTTTGTTTATCCATGCATTAGCGGCCACTATTCGATTATATAATCATAGGCGCGGTCATGGTGGAAGCAAATGTCAACGGGCGGATAAATGCGCCAAGATAAATAGCCACATGCCTCAGGCTGTCTGCGGATGCCTGGGAAAGGAAGTACTGTAAATTGAATAAAGTTATAGAGTAATAAGCAGAAGGCGGAGATGATGACAAAAAACAAGAGAAGAAATGGGATTTTTAGGAAAATTTTTTAAGTCAAATGCAAAAGAAAGATAATGAATGATGAAAAAGGGCAATACAGTTTCCTAGGTATTCAATTTTTAGTCAAAACCAAGGTTATATTATTTTAGGTCATCAAAATTGGCCTTTTCAAAATATGCGAAATTTCTCCAAGCTTGATATTCAGATTTGATTGAAATTTGGCATGCTTACTCATGATAGACCAGGAATGCATTTCTAAGAATGTTGTCTCAAAACTTTTGAACCGTATTTAAGAAAATGGAATTTTAAAAATTTTCGTAAAAATGTGTTTTCTCAAAATTTCCGATAAAAATCGGTCCAACAAATGCCTCAAGTTTAATTTCAGGAAATCTCCAGTAAAGAAGGAAGATCCAAGAACCTCAAGCTTCCTTCAGAATTCCTAAATTTGCTTGTTACTATCTACAGTAACCCAAACCGCCCATATCTTTAATTTTGCCCAATTTTTCCCCAAAAATTCAGCGAATACCTGTCAAGCAATCAGCCCATTTTTAGTAATCTGAATACTATACAAAAACAATTTATTTCGAAAACGTTTCCCTTTCCTCTCCGATTCGAAATGACCGCTCTGAATGTGTGATAATCAAACAGAAATGACCGGTCTCCCCTTCGTTTTTATCAATTCATATGATCTAAGACGTTTTATTGGCCATTTTACAAAAGATTACAAGGTTTACAAAAAGGGAGAGAGAGAGAGAGGGGCGACCAAACGATTTCCACAAACATTTGGTCGTAAATTTGGGGAAACCTACGAATTTTGAAATTTGAGATTATCATAGGGATGGGTGAGGTGGGGAAAAGACGGTGTTACAGAGTCATAGTATAAGACGAAGTTGAGTCAATGATGGTTATACATTTGTATGGGTATAAAAATTGATTTGAAATTATATAGACTTCAATTGAGACATTAGCCTTTCCAAGCGGACCTTATTTTAGACATCAGATAGGTAGAGGTAAAATTGGTGAACAAGGAAAACTTTGCCTGATAAATTTAAAATTTCTTACATATTATACAAGTAAAATTCATGGTGAATGATTGCAATGTATCTAAAAAACATTTAAGCCACCAGTTCGGAGAGAGCGACCTTATTTTGGACAGCAGTGCCAAATATAAGTAAAAATCGGAGAATCGAATTTTGGCCGGTCAACTACAATAAAATGACAACTTCCATAAAATTCATGGAACATCAGCCATACAAAACATCCGTCAAATCTCATTATTCTCTAATTTTCCCTCCAAAATCTGGTCATCAGCTGGCTCAAGTCCAATATAAATGAGGCCCCCAGATCGGCGGAAGGGCGAAAATTATATTATATATGCATAAATAAATGGAAAAATCTTGGCTCTCGAGAGGCGAATGAGTAAGATTAGCTGACACCGCACCGAATGTTGCGCAAGGCCGGGGGTGCAGCCAGGGTAGGGCTCTGGGAATAAATAATATGAAGGAAATGCAGATTAAATGTCGAAAAAGGGAATGGAAATGTGGGATGTGAACTTGAACAGATCTAACATGGGATTGACAGATCGAATTTCTATGCTTTGGGTTGTAAATTATGTTATACTTGACGTGAGAGGTGTCGGGAAAAATCATGTTTTCACTTTGATTCACAGCGAAATTGTAAAATTCTTTGACAAAAATGATGATTGAGATTGTATAGAGTAAAAACAAGTGGTGTTTGGACGTTTAGAGAGTTTAATTTTACCAAAAACATCAAAAGTATTAGATAAGACATCAAAATTTAGATTTTTTTTTTCAATTTTAAAAAAATCAAATGTCAGCGTAATTTTGTCACATTGAGAAACAGTACCAAATAGTCTTATTTAGATAGGATACTAATATTCTTGATACTACAGTACTTTTTTAGTTGACAAAAATCGGAAAACTTGCCAAAAAATTAACATTTTTCGTATTGAGTAGCCTTAGATTATAAACTCCACTGTCAAATTTTTACAAAATGGACTCACGCGACTCGTACTACCCTAATCCCTACAAAATTTACCCGCAGCCCCACGAAAAGTCTTTATTTGAACATCAGAATGCGGAATCCTTGGGTCCCGCGACCCAACGCCCAAATCCAAATAATAAAAAGTGGAGGGGAATGCACATTTGGTTTATGAAAAAATGGCCGAAACAAGTGCAATTTTGGTTATTAAAAGCTGCGCCACGCCTCTTTTTTTTTTGATAAATTTTTGGGCGCCCTAATTTCGAATTTAAACATATTACAGTAGGGCAGCTCTTAATGGGCTGCGCGAATGGCATATGGACTTGGAATTGGGAATATGTAATGCGATTTGGGGGGAATGGGACTCAAAATGTTTGAATTTGAATATGAAATGACGTTGGGAAGGGCCTAAAATACGAATGAAAAAAGAAGTTCGGCGCAGCAGAAATGTGGAATAATGGGGATTTTCTGCGATGAAAATTGGCAAAGATTTGGATGAAGACCATATAAGTCATATCAATTTTTTTGGCAACTTTACAGTAACTACCAAGATTTTTAGGCCGAATTTACCAAAAAATGAAAAATTTTTACAATTCTCTGCATAAAAATTAACGGGACTATGGGATTTAGAGGATCCGAAGCAGAATTTTTCCTACTCTAAAGTCAAATTAGGTAGTTTTCACAGGGTTCCCAAAATTCTATGTATAAACCGGCACTTCGTAGTTGTTGAAATTTATATAACAGTTACTGGTAAATTAACCTTCAAATTTCAATTTCAATTTACACTAAAAAACCTTCCTTCGGGTACTTGCAGAATTTATATCTGCAAGTACCCGAATCTATGCCAAAAAGCAATATTTTTATAAGCGCAAAACCAAAAATACCGAAAAAGTCTTTCGTCTAGCCTACTCTCCCAATTTTACGTGCACTCTCGCCAAACTATCGCCCAACATTTCCACCTTCGATTCCTGCCAAGAAATGGCCATGTAAAAGTTTACTTTACGTTATCCACAAACTCTACGTCCTCTACCTCTGCGAAAAGCCCAAGTTTGACCCAATTTCTCAACCCCTCCCCTCCAAAACAATGCCATCTTTTGCGTCCTGCCTTCCTCGTTATATCCGCTCGTTTTCGGTATGTCCATTCTTTGGCCATTCAGCGGCGCTGTTTCTTCATGTTCAGCATCCCATCTGAATATGAGTTTTGCTCTCTCCCTTTTCTCATTTCCTTCGCATTTTCAATTTCATCCGTTTACGTTATAAAAGGGGGAGTGCGGATTAACAAAACTCGCGCAGCGCCCCGCCGACCGACCACTCGGCCCAAACATATAATAAACATTAAAAATGGGCAACTGTCAGAGCGGATATTCATTAGATAAATGAAGAGAGGGCGAGTTATTACTTTTGATGGACGTTATAACGAGGCAACGGGACTTCCTGGAAACTGCGAAATGTTCCAAGTAACGGAAGAGGGGGGTTCGAACAAATTTACATTCAAATTAGAGGAAATACGAGCTTACGGTAGACATAGTTTTGGGAATATAGATTATGGAGTATTTGGATCAGGAGTTGAGGGAAAACGAGATAGCAAACGACAAGTTCAAAATCTTGGACAGTAAAAAATGAGTTTAGAGGGCATTTTGGGCTAGCAGACGGATCTCAAGCCGCATTGCTTCGATAGTTTGCAAGTTATGACTGTAGGATGAACCTAGGCCACATGCTCAAAAATTTTTGGTCGTTTTTTGCAAACGACCGAAAAGTCGTTTCCCGTAGCTAAGATGTCGTTTAACCTTTGCCGACAAAAGACTATGCAAAATTAAAAGAGAAGGTCAGAGGCTATGTTTTGGCCATTTCTTTGAGAATTTGCAATCCTACAAAAACAGTCATATATTGCGTATCTTTCGACATTGAACTCTATATAAGACGGAGAGTTAGACATGTAAAAAATTTGATCAAGTTCCGTCATATCGGTTCCAAAATATACCATTCCATAGCCCCCTCTATAACACAAACTTTTTGCGCCTCTGCGATTTCTTATACACAGATTTGAACTTCAGTTTCAAAATACTCAAATTAATGTCCATTGAATCCCCCCTAAAACAAGTCGATTCGGAAAGAGAGGCGCCCTTCTGTACCAGGCCCATTCAATTCGTCGAAATATAAAAATAAAATAATTGCGCGGCCGAAACAGATGATCGAATTAAACGCCCTCATTATACACATTTATTTTATGCAGCAGTCTTAATTGAGTAAATGCTCGCAATTATGTCAAAAAAGTCCGAGAAACGCGGCAGTTTAATCGATTCTCCGCCGCTAAAGGGTAATGTCATATACGAATAGAGGTGCTTTGTTGGTAGACAGGACCTTATAAAGAAATTTGGAATCTCAGATGAGCTTTACAAAAGTCTTCAAGAGTCATGGTCAGTTTTAGAAAAAATGAGAGCAAAGATTACA